GTATTCGAAGGCGAATGATTTAATTTATTTGAAGTTAAAACTGCTTTGTAAAAGATATTATAGTATATTAAATGGGAGCTTTTGCAGCTTGTTAACAATTATCATTTAACAAATAATTTCTCCATTATACAACAAATGCTGCCGCCAGGAACAGATGATGTAAGTCTTTTTCTTCAAACATGGAACGGTATCGATGGAACTACACAGCATGTAGACTTTGATTTTTTACACATCTGTTGTTATTAGCAGTTATCATGCTAGATTTTCTGGTTCCGTAATAAGTAAAAACTTGGTCGGAAGTCTTTTGGTAATCGTAGGCAGCATGAAAGAAGCAGCAACTACAGTATTTTGTAAGATCAGGTCAAAAGTACTCACTCTCTGTGGGAGGCGTATTTATCGGAAGTAGTTCGTATCAACAGTAACCACCGTTGGTGAGGCCTATGATGACTTGAACTGTCCATGGAAAGACGCGCTGAAAAATACAATATTACACAAATAAACCAAAAATTTTTGATATTTTTGGTACCTTTTCACGCTTTGTGAGAGGAATCAAAAACTACCACAAACTTGTTTCCTACTTAACTTTTGTAGAAGCTGAACCATCATTAGACTAATATGCAGTTTTACACGATTTCCAACAATAGATGCGAGAAATTTTAAAAAATTAAAGTTTCAGAATCAAAAAATTTAAGTGAAAAGATTAACAGTAAATGTAAAATTATTAAATTTCAGGGTTAAAAAAATCTTCCAATTAAAAGCTTCCGGAACTTAGGCGGTTGCATTCTTTTTGGGTTCTTGAAATAAATGATTTTGATAGTTTTAGCTAACACTGATAAAGTATGCGCAGCTGTATGAAGCAGGATGGCTATATGCGCGTGTTGCACGTCAGGCTTATGAACTGAAGAACAATATTAGCATTCTTGATCAAGCTACTGCGCTAATCGACATGCTCAGAGATAGTCATTCCGATGGTATCAATTCTTTGTCTTCTGACTAATAATTAATGAAGAGAAGAAAATGCCTGAGAAGTTAGGACTTTCCGCTAATTTCAGCTTAAAATGCCCTAGTTTTAATCACATCTCAAGTCTTTGACTGTACCACTTCCGAGAAGCTGCAGGCGGATTACTGAATGGTACTCAAAGAGTGATAGGAAAACAGAGACCGCTAGTGCAGTGCAAGAAATTGCTTAAAAGGCTCTATGAAA